GCCTCATTAACTCAAATAGATCCCTTTTTCCAGTAGAAAGAAATCAAGCCATATGATGGCAGCCTCATTAACTCAAATAGATCCCTTTTTCCAGTGAAGTGGTTATAGCATTTGTCTGCTTCAAGTTGATGTGACTGTAGTTCAGGGGTATGTGTGTGTGAGAGAGACAGAGAGACCATATTGGTGTTTTCTCCTGCATGCCTTCAACCAGGCATGGTACCTGATCCAGGGGATATCAGAGTTTTGTGGGTTTTTGTTTTTTTTAGATGGCATCAGTCTATGCCATCTAATTCTCAAGTTAGACTGATGCAGGGGACTTTGCCCCTCCCAGGGGACATAGACATTTTTAGTTATTACAGCTGTGGAAGGGGGTGCTACTGGCAGCTAATAGGCCCAGGTCAGGGATGCTACTAAGCATCCTACCACGCACAGCCTTGACCCCATGGCGAAGAATTATCCAGCTCCAAATGTGAGAAATGTCACATGCCAAGTTTGAGTAACCCTGTGTCTAGCCCAACGGTGGATAGGAAGAAAAACACCAAGTTTGACCCTGAACTCTGCTGTTCCAAAAACAGATCAAAGGAAGCTAAAATTAAAGGAATAGTTTGGTCCAAACTCCTCTGCACACAGATCCCATAGGATAGGAAAACGCACTCATGCTGAAAGAACCTGGCCAAAAATAAAACTAAATGAAAAGTGACAGGGGTCAAATGAAAGGCAAAAGAAGAAAATGTTCTATATGGGCAAGATGCCAGCCACATACACCACAACTGACAGGTTCGAATCCAGCCCCAGCCTGCCAAACAACAATGACAACTACAACCAAAAAATAGCCTGAAGCCCCAGCTACTTGGGACGCTGAGGCAAGAGAATTGCTTAAGCCCAGGAGTTGGAGGTTGCTGTGAGCTGTGACACAACAACATTCTACCCAAGGTGACAGCTTGAGGCTCTGTCGCAAAAAAAAAAAAAAGAAAAGAAATTCTAAGCTTGAGAAGGAATAACATAAACACAGAGAAGAATATGGAATGTTCCCACCAAATGTGACACAGGCAACAACTGGCGACATTAAATTCCAGAGTTAGCAAAGCAGAAGCCCTTGGTGTCTTGCAGCACTTTCCCTCACCCCACTTCTAATTTTGACCTCCTTTGTGGTCAGCCAAAAAGTGATTAGTAATCTTAATTACATCTGCAAAATCCCTCTAATATAGATCCCATATACATATACCAAAGACTTGAAGTCTTACCTCTGCATATATATACACATATATCACATGTACATATCACACCAATTCCACTTCTAGGTCTATACCCAACTAAAATTATGTATGTACATTATTGTCACCAAAAGACATGTTGTACAGTGTTCATAGCAGTGCTAATCATACGGCCAAAAATGCAGAAACTATTCAATGTTGTGCAACAGAAGAGTAGTTATGTTTGCTTAATGGAATTCTATACAGCACTTAAGAATGAAAAATAATATAGATGAATGTTATAAACATAAGGTTGAACCAAAGAAGTCAGATACATAGGATACTTAACCATTTATAAAAAGTGCAACATCAGGCAAAACTTATCTTATGGAAGGAGGCACAGAGGGCCCATTTGGAATAGGGATAATATTGTCTTGATCTAGGTGCATCTGATATGTGAAAATTTATCCAACTATATACTTACTTGTATGGATCTTTCAATTTAATATAAGGGTACAATTTTTAGGTTACATTGTTCTCAATTCCAGGGTAAAAAGTTCTATTTGTAGAAGAGCCTCTCAGCCAGGGGACGTGTTATACACCCTCACAATGTGCATGTGGGCTCCCCCCTCATGCCCTCCTTCCTTCTGCCAAACGTCCACCCACTTTACCCCTCCCTCTACCCCCGAACTGGACTATATTAGTGTTTTATTGTTCTTATGTGTGTCAATATTTTAAATTACTGCTTCAAAAGAATCTTAGAAAATAAAGTAGAATATAAACTACTAGAAATAATAGAATTCTATAAATTTATCAAGATGGCTGAAAGTAACATTAATACACAATTACATTTCTATACAGCAGCAACAAACAACTAGAAGAGAGATGTGAATTACAGAAGGGGGTGCCTATTTGCCCTTCTTGTGATGAGGATTTACTAAAGAATTAAGAGAGTGTGACACTAATAAAGAAAAGATAAAGGAACCAGCAGAATAGAACAGAGAACCAGAGCAGACCTATAGGTGTATGGAACTTTGGCATATGACACAGGGAAAATGTCAAATTGGCAGGGAAAGGTTTGTGACTATTTGGAAAATGAAATTGGGAAAAAATATGGAAAGAAAGAGAATTGTATCCCTAACTCACTCTTATAAAAAAAAATTGTTAAATGAGTTAATAATAAGGCTTTAAATTACTATAGAATATATGTGAATATCTTATAGACTTTGGAATGCAAAAGGATTTTTTAAGTAAGACACAAAATGCAAAAATTCAGAGAACACTGAAAAACCTGACCATATTAAAATGAATAACTTTTATCAAAAAAGGTCTTAAATAAATATTACACCTCCAAGTTTCCCAGCCCAAGTCAGAAAAAAAGTGTGAGATAGGTTCACCTTATTTTAACTTCACAAAAAAATGTATAAAATATTTTAGTAGATGCATGCACAAAAATTAATGAACAGAGAACTAAAAAAGAGTAATAAAAACAAATGAGGTTCTTTGAAACTTTTAATAACATCTCCATATTTTTGGTAAGACTTATCAAGAAAAAGTGGAATCACAGATTGAAAGAGAGGGGGAAAACTCACCCAATAGAACTAAGTACAATAAGGGAAAACTACAATAGAGAGACCATTATTCTTATCCACTAGGGTAGGAGGACCATTTCTCATATCTTAAGAGATGTAAACTACAGCACAGTGTTTAAGTGCTCCCATCTCCTCTTGTACTCATCTGCACAGCAAAGTCTCTCTTGAAATATAGAGAACTCATTTCAACTAAATACATTCATTAGTTCATTTATTCAAAAATTACTTTTGGATCTCTATGTCAGCCCCATCTCAATGCCTGGCACAGAGATGAAAAGAATTTCAGAAGAAAAAAATCAAAAGACTAGAAAAGAGAGAAGCAGCTAATGACAATGTCAGAGGAGAAGCAACTGTGTCAGTTGCAACCACATTGTGGGTCACGGATTGTGTCTTTCTCTAGGCTCTACAGGTGTATTTTCTAAGAGGACTCCCCAGTAAACCAGAACTCGACTTTCTCTCTCAGTATGTTCGCAGGGAACTGACTCAAAGATAAAAATTTAAAGGCCCTTTTTATAGCATTCTCCCCTAGAGCCCAGGCAAATCATTCTTTACTTTTTTCAAGGTCATGAATCTCTTTGACAATACATGAAAACTAAGGACACTTTTCTCAAAAAAATACACACAGGCACTTAATGTGAACTTTTACATACTGTTTTAGAGGTTGTTCCCTCCTCACCCCCAGCCTCCTCTTTACTGCCCTGCTCAAACTTCACCACCCATTAAATGCCTCAAGTAGCTCTTTGTGCATAATCACAAGATTAGCCACCATTTACTGAGCACTTCCTCTCTGTAAGACCCTACACTAAGAGTTTTATCTTCGGCTCGGCGCCTATAGCTCAACCGGC